GTGCGTGCAGATTGCCCGCTTTTCTCGCCTTCTACGCCGACTGCGGCAGACTCGGTTTAACGAAGAAACGGAGCAGTTGGTGTCTGAGCTGCAGCAGGCGTGGAGCGCCAGGAGGCATGCCTAAGTGTGGAGGCTCGCCCATCTGATCGCTGGCCACTGCAGAGGTCCAAGACGACGACGACTCAACATAGCTGGCGAGTACGCACCACGGAACGACGAAGTATGTGAATATACCTCGAGAACTGGTCCAGCGGGTGGATTTCAAGCGGTGCCGATTGATTTGCCTACCTTCCAACGCGAGTGCTTGCAGCACTTGCCGCCACCTCCACCTTTCGGTGCTAACAACTTTGCGTCGGTGGAGGAGGCCAGGGAGGATCTGGAAGGAGTGCGAGAGATTCTTGCCAAGGTACCGAGACGGAAAGCCGCTCCGCTTCACAGTGTGCCGTCAGAGATTTTGCAGCTGGCAATCGATCCTGTCAGGAGGTTCGACGGCCCGCATCGACGACGGCGGCCCCCACCAGATGCCGAACACGACGACGACGGCGGATCTCAACGGCAGCGACCAGACGGGCCTCGTCTGGCCCAGCGACATCGTCTTGGGGGTGATCGTAGGGGTCTTGGAGCTCCTCCAGGGGTATTCTCCAACGGAATCTCCTTGAGGCGCCTCCAACAAGTGCTCCATCGAATTCGGCGGGTTGAGGGGACCCCAGCGGTCTGGCATCACTCGAGGGCCACGGGGCTCAGCAAGGCCAACGGGAAGAATGGCTTCCAAGCGCGTCGCTACATCCACGGGCTGTGTCGTATGGTGGTAGCCTGGTACAAAGACCGTGCTCCTCAAGTGACCCCAAGATGTGCCCAAGAGGCGCTGTCCTGGCAACTTCGGAAGCAGGGTCTGTCCTTCCTGGTGTCCAAGGAGGACATGTCGAACGCGTCTGGGAAGCTCTTCAGGACACTGCACGGACTTCTATCGACGCCAGAGATCAAGTGCTTTTTTCGCGCAGAGGCACGAGACCAGCACCTCCACTGCACAGACGGCGGAGGGGGGAACAGACGTTACGGAACAGGTGTGGGGCGTGTATGGGTGACAGCCCTGCCGCAGTCTTTTTCGCGCGGACTTTTCGGAAGCCCATGGGAGGTTGGCTGGACGCATTACGCCAGCACGCATGGCGGGACAACCACCCTCCTCCTCGACCTCAGACGTACGACGAGTGGATGATATCCAGCCCTCTTGCCCCACCTATCCCTCCCTCCAATCTTGACGAGAACGTGTGGCTGTCCGAGGACATTGGTACAGCGTGGACGCATTTCCTGCAAAGGCCTGCGTCGCTTGCCTGTCGCGTGTATGCAGACGATACAAGTAAGACGCATGTGGTGTCCTCGGCTCGGAACGTGCAGCACACACTGGACATTTCTCACCAGAGGCTGCGAGAGTGTTTGGCTCCTGGCGGCTACGAGCACAACGCTGGGAAAAGTCAAGTCTCTCCCGTCTTCGTGGGACCGGGGGCTCACGGGCACTCCAAGGCGCTCTTTGGGGGTTCCATTCCCGTGGCGGGCAAGATTCAGTTCGACTCGGTGTCTATTGGGATCTCCACGTCTGTCAATGGAGGAGTCCAACGCGAGCTACGTCGTCGCATTCTAGCTTGTAGGAGGGGATTCTACACGATGGGGAAGTTCTGGGCGAAAAATCGACTGTAGCCATTCACGAGGACTGTATTCGGAGCGGTTGTTCAAGGGGCATTACTTACTGGATTTACTACCCTGATCCTCTCCCCGACCCAGGAGCGTCGTTTGGACGGTGTGCTTGCTGGTCTCTCCCGGAAGCTTCTCGGAGGTGATGCATGCAAAAAACGATGATCTTGGGGCCGGACGGCACACCACAGCTGGATGAGGAGGGGAACCCTCTGCTCAAATACACGTCGAGCACGAACGAACAAGTTCTGCGAAGATTGGGTGTGGTTCCCACTGGTACCGAGTTGAGGGTGCGACGTCTGCGTACATATCAACGATGGCTACGCCGTCCCGACCGCCACGCCCAGGAAATGGCCGCCGTGTTTGGTCATCTCCCCGTCGAATCCACTCCCACAATTACGTCGGACGGAACGATCGCTGAGGATACGAACCCATACGCCTGGAGGTTTGCGAAGGATGTGATCAGGTTGCTACGTCGTGCGGAGGAGGATGGCCTGCTGGATTCGTTATTTGTGTATGAACCACCCACGCCCGACGCGCTTCGCTTGAATGTGCGAGCCCTGCTTCTCGACCCCGAGGTGAGAGGTCGCTTCCTACAGCTTGACCCGAGCCTCCTGCGGGTGGCGACTAGGGCGGTTGCGATTCCCCCACCACCAGGCTTGCATGGTCCGCAGGAGCCCGTGGAGTCTACTATCACGCGTGCTTCTACCCACGGGGGGCACATCACCGAGCCGTGCTGCTCGAACACAGACACCTTTGCTTCTCTCACCGAACTCTACGCGCACCTGGCCACCCACGCTCCTGCGCCTCGGGCCCGACATGTTCCGACTGAGCGCCGAGCAGCTCGAGGAGGCCCGCTAGCGGTGCAAGAGCCGCGGAGGCGGGCCACGCCGAGGCCGCAGCGGATCAGCCGCTGCCCCCCGCCAGCGTGGACCGAGGCGCCGAGGGCCCAGCCTGCTGCAGCGCGCGGACGCGCCAGCAGCCGCCTTGGCCGCCTCGGGCGCGGCAGGAGGAGCTCGCGAGGTCAAGACCGCCCTGGGCAAGCAGTACGGTCGCGCACCCGACACGATGCAGAAGCCACCCAGCATGGACATGCAGGTGATGACAAAGCTGATGCCCATCCTCGTCGAGGCAGTCCTCGGGAACACGTTCCAGCTCAGACTCCACATGGCCGCCGAGTTCACCACGTTCCTGAATCCAGAGGACGGCTCTCTCGCGAGAGCTGCGCTGCAGGCGGGGCCAGCCTGCGCCACCGCAGCCGCAGGTATGAGAAGCCCACGCGAAAGATCCAGCGGCACCACTACCAGAGGTCCACATGGGGCCAGCGCGCTGTCAGATCGTCATGGTCGTGGCAGACCAGGCCGTCAAAGGAGACCGCGTGGGAGCCAGGAGCCGTGCGGTATGGGAGACCTGCAAGCAGAAGCTAGACAACAACAGCACGCAGCACGACCGGAGTCTCCTGGTGAGGGGCTTTCGAGTGAGCTCAGCGTTCAAAGAGAATCAGGCCAAGTTGATCGTGTCTCTGACCGACAAAGAGATGCAGCGCGTCTTCTGCGACTGTATGAATCAATTGGGAGGGGAGGAGAAAGAGGGGATCGCTCCCCGCTACAACACGGAGAGGATCCTACAGATGGCCATCGACGAGTGCGAAGGGATGTGATGACGACCACCCAGGCACGACAGGAGTGCCACCCAACTTCCAACAGGAGGAGATCCGAGTCGTTCGAGGAGTGAGGTCCCTGTCGTGCCACGCTCGCAGCAGCAGAATCAAACGTACAGTTTCAAAGAACTGATGAGACGTTTCACTCGATGGGCCCCGCGGGGCCTCTCTGTTTTTTTCCGCTGACCTAGGTCTGCTGTCGTCCTTGTCGTTCTCGGCGTCGTGTCGTTGTTCGTCTTTCCGCTTCTCTCGCCCTTCCCGCTCCTGGGCCTCGGCCTTTCTGTCAGCGTGACTCTATCAACGCCTAGGGTCACGCAATTTCTCCTCCCCCCTCGGGGGGTCACGCCTTTCTGCGGGCTGGTGAACGCTGTGACTCTCACTCCCGCTTGCGGAAGGGGGGAGACACGGCGATCGCCTCTCGCGGAGAGATGCGGTCGCCCGCCTTCTCCTGTGCCCCCCTCGGGGCATCTCCCCGTCGATGCTGCCTGCTGCGGACCGACCCAGGTCAGTGCTCCGAGGGTGCATCGCGGTTGAGCGAGTTTCCACTCGGGGCTCCCCCGTGGGGGCCAGACTGCTTCACTCTAGAGTGCACGGTAGGTCGCACATCTCTGAGGATTCTCGGAGGCGTGGTTTTTCGAAGTTTCGTTTCGATGCTGCACGACCCGATACCGACTCTCCTCCTCCTCCTCCTTCTCCTCCTCCTCCTCCTCCTCCTCTTCCTCCTCCTCCTCCTCCTCCGCCTACTCCTCCTCCTCCTCCTTCTCCTCCTCCCTCTCCTCATCCTCCTCCTCCTCCTTCACCTCCTCCTCCTCCTCCTTCTCCTCCTCTTCCTCCTCCTCCTCCTCCTCCACTTCTTCCTCCTCCTCCTCCTCCTCCTGCTCCCTCACCTACCTATGGTAGTGGTGGTGGAAGATAGGCCCATCAGTGTTGACTTCGTTCTCCCTCGTGTTGCCTTCGGTCCGCCTCTCGCTGCAGGATCGACGAAGTCGACACGAGAGCGGCCCGCGAGAGCGCAGAAGCACCGCTTGGGTCGGGCCCCGCCGCCAGACGGCCGCTCTGGGGGGGCCGCGGCAGCGGAGGTCGAAGCGGCTGCGCGGGGAGGCGAGCAGCAGGTGCGGGGATGGGTAGAGATGGGGATTGGGATTCGGCTGAGGCTGCGGCCGAGGAAGAGGATGAGGGCGAAGGTCCTGATGGGAGGCCGCAGTGAGGATGAGAACAAGGACCGAGCTCCCGCATCCCGGTCAGGATCAGGATCCTGGAAGCTGTGGGTCTCACACAGAGGTGGTGACGAGAAAGGGGATAGGATAGGGATGAGGAGTCAAGGTTGCAATGAGGATAGAGAATGGAGGATGATAATGAGACTGAGGCTGAGGAGGACGATACAGATAACAATGATGAGAAAGGTGGGTATGATGATGACTTTGTTCTGGTGCTCCTATATCCATGTGGATACCTCGAAACCAACGCTCACGGTGTCTAGGCGGGCAAACGCCTCTTGCCTATGCCCAGACTGCCTGCGAATGAAGGCTCAATAGCTATCCGTCACCATGGGCTGTAGCCTTTGCCATAGCCCTTGCCGCCGCCTTTGCCCCAACTTCCGCCACCGCCGCCACCACCGCCGCCAACAGAAGACCCACTTACGTTGACAGCTTTATCCGCTCCCTTGGCGTGGGCATGGTATGGGGTGCCCTTGGACCTCCATGTGTCTGTCGACCTTGAGCCTTGTAGCTCAAGACTCCTCAGAAACCCCAGACCCCGATTTTCGAAACTCCTGGGCGCCCCTGGCAACTTCCAACCTGCCCCAGGATGGCCCATAGGGGATCGTCCTGCAATATTGGGGCCCGCCTTGGAGGCTCCCGGGGCCAGACCAAGAGACCGACATCAGTGAAACTGATGCTTGCGCATGATGTTCGCAAGCTCGCTTACTCCCGTCTGACGAGCGTCCACGACGACCCAAGGAGGCCCTCAAAACCCGCCGAGGAGCGCCCCCGAGTCCACCAGAAGCAGCACAGGACATCCCGAGGGGAACACGAGGGGCCCCTGGAGCTCCTTCCCTGAAGTTGAGGGATGAAAAAAAAAAAAACACCCTACCCTGGGTTACAAGTGCGCGGTCTGTAAACCTCCTGGGAAACCCTAAAGCCTAGAGCCGCCAGGACTCGGCACATCACGCAGGGTTCACCCTGTCAGCCCACAGGAGTTTCAGCACACAGCGCCTCGTAAACCAGGGTAGGGGCGTTTTTTATGCCCTTGACTAAGATAGCCGCCGAGACAGCCAGCAGGCTCCAAAAAGAAGACCTCAGGAGGCCCCCAGAGGCGCCCAAGGAGGCTTCCAGGAGGGCCTCAAGAGGCCCCAACAAGGCTCTCAGGACGTCTTCAAGAGGAGGCCACAAAAGGGACCCCAGTAGGCCTCTATGAGGCCACTGGTCCACAACGCAAACACAATGAGGGGGTTGGCCAAAGTCCACTAGATATTTGCCCTTCCGATCGTCATACTCGGCATCATACCTGACAGCATCACCCGCCTGTACGTTCGCAAACGCATCGTCGCCGCCATTGTCCTTCACGTGGACGAACACATCTTCAGAGCCATCATCTGGCGTAATGAAGCCGAACCCCTTGTCGGTGAAAAACTTCTTGATCTGACCGCTGCTCGACATGAGAAGAGAGTGGACAAGAGCGAGCAAAGAGTAACAGGGATAGGCTTGATGCTGGAGCACAAATTGGTTGCGCAAAAACGTGAGCCAAAATGGCTACGGACGAGCTTGAGCACGAGGATGAGAACACGGGTGCGGGTGAGGACTGCGGGAGGACCAGGGTTTAGGGTGCGAGCGAGGGCGAGAGCGAGGACGAGCACGGGCGCGAGGACGAGGGTGGGAGTGGGGAACAAGACGAGGGCAACGATCAGGGGACAACGGGGCCGAGGATGCGGGGGAAGAGGATCCAGATGGGGATGAGGGCGAGGAGGAGGAGGCGGAGCTGGCGACGCCGCAGACCCGACGGGCGCCTCACGCTTGCTCCGCGGACGCGTGGCGGGCGATACCCCTCGGGACCCTGGAAGACGGGCGCGGAGGCCCCCCATGGAAGCGCACCGCCGACATCGGCCGCGAGGGGCGGCGAGGAGGACGCCGCCGTCCCCAGACCTCCTGCCGCCGCGAGAATTGCTCGACGACCCGCAGCTACGCTTGTGGATGCCATGACAATGGACACTCTAGGAATCCGATCATTGAGTCACAAATGTGTTCAAAACGTGTGAAACATGTTGTCTAATGTGACAAGCATGTCTTTAACATGTTTACAAAGAATGTTCGAAACACCTTTTAGAGACACCTGGAAATCATTTGGCAGCACGCTGCCTCTCCATTGATCGACTTTCACAACCCCAGACCTCCTGCCGCTGCGAGAGTCGGCCGGTGGACAAAACTCCCTTTCGTGAACCTCCCTTTCGTGAAAGCGGCCTGGGACCGACACCGACGGACCCAGACCCGCAAAAAGGACGACCGCGACGCCCCCTCGCGAACCGAAAACGGCCAATTCCTGAATCGACGTGTCGGGGCAGGGGGTCCATCCACCTCCGAGAAAGAAGGGCTCGACGACGGGCAGCTGCACGCTCTCCACAGGGGGCCGCCGCAGGCGCCCGCTGCCCTTGGCGCCCGCGGCGGGGGGCAGGGGCGGAGAGGAGAGCTGCCCCCGGGGGAGCAGGACGGCCTGCAGGCGGGGGGGCCGACGGCTTCCGGGGAAAAAGGGTCGGACCCAGGGCAGAAGATTTCGGAGGTCGGAGCACATACATTACCAGTGGCTCCTCCTCCTCCTCCTCCTCCTCCTCCTCCTCCTGGGCCAGTCTTCAAGCCCAGGACTTCTGGAGGGCCGGGGACGACGTCAGGGTGGTGTGGCGTACAACTTTTTATCCGTTCCCTTGGGAGACAACGAAAAAATGTATATACCAGGGTCCCGTATACACCAGGATCCTCTTTCCTGTGGAAGCTTCAGTACATGGCCGGAAAAAGCGCCGGTGTATTGAGTTCGGTTCCTTGAGAAGAGCATCCTCCAAGAACATGAGAGACCCTCCACCAACCCAAACCCACGGAGAACATCCGCCCAGAATCATTGCTGTGGCGCTGTTGGCTACAATGCTGCGAAAGACCCGGAGCACGGAGAAGCTCCGTAGCCGCACGTAGGCCTAGAACAGGTCTAAGCGTAAGCCAAAATAGTGTCGAGGGATGAGGTGACGGACGAGAGAGAGGACTAGAACGAAACCGAGACCAAAATCCAGGAGGTTGCGGAGGCGGACGAGGACGAATATATAATGATACTGACCATGAGGGTTGGGTAAGGATAGAGATGATGGTCGGGATGACGACGAGGGCGAGGTTGAGGACGAGGATTGGAGATGAGGACGAGAATGAGGAAAAGCAGAATGAGAGGATGCGGACCACGCTGAACCCCACACACCTCACTGATGCTGGAATGCACCCTCTTGCCCTGGGACACTTTCTCACGAGGGCACCCAAGCCGTTCGAACTGCACCGCACCCGCTACAGCGGTGGGCGTCCCATGGCCCTGCCACGGGCAGAAGGAACTCGGAAGGCTGGCAGCTGAGGGGGGCAAAATGGCCCCGCCGCGTGAGAGGACCGGAGAGCACTGGACCGGCGAGGACAGTGCGGCCTTCTGCGGCGAAGCCCAGGGAAACATACAAACTCCTGGGGCGACACACGGGCACCGGTACCGCTACCCCCTGGACCTCTCCGGGGTTCGTTCTGGAAAGAAGTTCGAGGCGAATCCAGCGGTGGCGACGAGGGCCGCCCAGGAGGCCCAAGATAAAGAAGAAGAGGGAAGTGTAGCGGTATTGGTACCTCGTCCTCCTCCGAAGTCCAGCCTCATCCTTCGAAACGTAAGAGCAATAGGTACGCAATCGAACACCCGCGAGATCGAGGCGAGAGCGCTGTTGAATTAAAAACTCCGGGCCCCCGTCGCAGGAACTGGCACAAGAAAGGCGTCAAGAAGGAGTGGCCGCGGCGGCAAGCCGCGGCTTCGCAGACCACCTGGCCCAGCATCCCTGCAACTAGCAGATGTTCTGCCTCCGGTGGGACGCACACGGACACACCAGTGCTAGGTGTCCTCCTCGGAGGCGTGCGTCCGACCCGAACGCACACGGACATACCAGTACTGTGTGCCCTCCTCGGAGGCGTGCGTCCGACCCGACAAGTAAGTGCAACCCTACGATTAGTGCGTGTCATTGTCTCACTGCTCTCTAGTTGCCATTAATACATCGTTTCCCGAGCGGCATAACCAGAAAGCGCCCGCAACCGCACACGGCGGACGCACGCGGGGTGTCAGTGTGTCGCCCCTCCCCACTCATCCCTCGGGGGCAAAGACAGGGGGAGGAGGAGGAGGAGGAGGAGGAGGAGGAGGAGGAGGAGGAGGAGGAGGAGGAGGAGGAGATGGCCCTGGGAGGGGGGGGGGGGGGGCGACGCACGTAGGGTGTCAGCGCGTCGGGGCGACGCCGATCCGGAGCTGACATCCACGAGAAGCCTGGCACGGAACGGCCGCATCGCCTCGACGGCACGCCCTGGCGCTCTCAGAAGAGCGACTTGCCGTCGCTCGGACGTCCATTTCCCCTGCATGTTTCGGTTTCGTGCGTGTGTTATCTTGCTCGATGGTCCAGGATGGTCCTCGAAGGTTCTCGCCGATACAAAATGCACACGTCCGAGCGCTGCCAAGGTGAGCTGCGATAAGAGAGGCAGAGATAGAAGGAGAAAAACGGCATAAGCATAAAATGTCGGCGCTCCGCGCGGACTTCTTGTTGGATCTGCGCCCTGGCGCGCGAAGCGCGCCAGGGGCGGCGCTGGAGGCGCCGCCGGGGGACCCAGCGCGGATGCAAGAAATCCGCGCGGAGCGCCAGAAGTTCATGTTCATGCATTTTTCTTCATCTAAGAAAGAGAAAGAGAGAGAGAGAGAGAGATGAAGAAACAACATCTAATAAACTGAAAAAAGCACTGAGGATGAGAGCTGAGATGATGACAAGAGGGATCAGGACCGGGCTGACGATGACAAGGATGAGACTGACGATTTGGACAGGGACGACGCTCATGGCGATGGCGAAAGGAATGGCGGCCAAGAATGAGGACGAAGCTCTGGGCATGACGAGGGCCTCCCGGGGAGGCCCCAGAGGGAAAAGGACGGAATGATAGCGGTATCCCCACACCCCCGACTTCATGATTTGTTCTCAACGCCGACCCTGGAGGTCTCGATCCACTCCCCCGGAACCTACTTTTCGTCCTGAGTCGTTCTTGGACGGCCCCGAGGCCCAGTAAGGTGAGGGCCCCCAGAGACCCAAATTAGCGAAACACCTCCTGGCGTGATCTTTGTCGTGCCTCGAGGGGGTCTGGGTCGGCAGGAGGAGGAGGAGGAGGAGGAGGAGGAGGAGGAGGAGGAGGAGGAGGAGGGGGGAGCAGGAGGAGGAGGAGGAGGAGGAGGAGGAGGACCCTCCCCTCCTCTGCGCTCTGGGGCGCGCCTCCGACAGCAGCCCGCGGAACGTGTCGCGGCACACCATCCGGAAGGCCTCCTGTGGCCCCCGCACCGAGGTCGGGCAGCTCCTCCTACAGACGGATGTGGAGGGGCACCTCCGCAGTGGCCCCCAAAAGAGATTCAAAAAAGACTGGTACGGCCCGAACGAGTTGTGGCCCACTCTATGGTTTGATTCACTCTGAATATACTCCCCTGGAGGAGGAGGAGGAGGAGAAGGAGGAGGAGGAGGAGGAGGAGGAGGAGGGGGAGGGGAAGGAGGAGGAGGAGGAGGAGGAGGAGGAGGAAGGAGGAGGAGGAGGAGGAGGAGGAGGAGGAGGAGGAGGGGGAGGGAGGAGGAGGAGGAGGAGGGAGGAGGAGGAGGAGGAGGAGGAGGAGGAGGAGGGGAGGAGGAGGTTTGTAAAGGGGACATGCCCAGCTTAACCCCGCGCGCGCGGGCGATGGGCACATAGGCGGCCTCTCGGCGCGCCGCCCCTCGGAGGCGCGGCCCCAGGCGCGGCAGTCCTCATCCTCCCCCTCCCCCCTCCTCCTCCTCCTCCTCCTCCTCCTCCTCCACCACCTCCTCCACCTCCTCCTCGTCCTACCAATATTCGCATTATTTTTCCTATTAGTAGCACAAGTCGTAATAGTATTAATATGATTATTCATCGCATGCTAGTTCTTATTGCTTCGTCATACTATTATTCTTAGCCGTATGAGTTGTATTGTCAGTATGTGTTTATCCTTCGTGTTCTTCCTACGATTTTCTTGTGAAAATTTAGATGGTTCGTAGTATTCGTGGTATGCTTCGTCTTATTCGTATTAGTATTGGTTTGAATGTTCGAAATACTTGCGTTACGATTAGTAAGTAGCATTAGCATTCGCATTAGTATTCTCATTGTTGATACCATTAGTTTCTTCCTTCTCCTCCTCCTCCTCCTCCTCCTCCTCCCTTTTTCCGCCTCTTCCTCATCACTTCATCACTGCCGGCATCATCACCGCTCCACAATGTGTACCCTCACAGGGGCGCCACGGTGCGTCGACGCGCGCACTGAGAGAGAGAGAGAGAGACCCACGGTGGCTCCTCGGTGATGACCAAGTCCTCACGCCGAGCGGCTCATCCTCCTCCTCCTCCTGATCCTCCTGATCCTCCTGCTCCTCCTCCTCCTCCTCGAGATAATCAGAATCAGCATCATCGTCGTTGTTATCACACTCATGGTCATTACCGTCGTCACCACCATGATCCGGATCATCTCCATCAGCGTCATCGCCTCCGTCACCATCCTCACCATCATGATGTTTACAATAACGCGCATCACCATCAGCAGCAGCAGAACCATCAGCATCAGAATCATCGGCATCGTCATCGTCATGGTCGTCATCATCAACATCACCACTATCAACGTCATCACCATCACAAGCATCATCATCATCGACATCAGCTTCGTTCTCATCATGACCCCAATCCTTATCATTGTTATCCTGGGAGAAGTGGAGCTTCAAATGACCAACACATTTAAACAACAAAAACAGATCGTAGGAGCATCCAGCGCGATCCGTCAGACACGACACGCATGATCCCCCCATCACATGTGCATCCTCCTCATCCTCCTCGGCCTCCCATCCCAACAGGCTCTGATTATGAAAAGTTCTGTGGATGCCACGACAATGGACACCCTAACAGTCCATAATCGAATTTAAAATGTGTTTAAAATGTCGGAAAATGTTATACACATGTGTTAAACCTGCTCCCTACATGTCTAAAACATGTTTAGCACATGTTTTAGACATATGGGAATGATGTGGCAGCACGCTTCCTCTCCATCGATCGCCCTCCACAAGCCATGTGCAGCATGTCGGGCTTGCTGCTGCCGCTCCCCTCCCCGCCGTGCTCCCATACCTCCCCTGCTCGATCGGCCGGCAGCAGGCGCAGCCGCGGCACGGGGGCGGAAGTGACGGAGAGGAGGGCGAAGAGGCCGAGGACGACGACGGCGGCGACGACGACTACGGCGGCGATGACGACGATGGCGAGGACGAGGGCGAGGATCAGGAACAGGGCGACGACGAAGGCGACGACGAGGACGACGGCGACGACGAGCAGAAACACGATGGCGAGGGTGACAACGATGACAGGAACGAGGCCGAGAAAGAAGACGCCGACGACAACGTGGGCCAGGAGACGAGGAAGACGAGAAAATGGCAGTGCGGCCTGTGAGCCTGGGTCTGCCCGGAGCAGCTCGAAGCCCTGCTCCAGCTCGCTGCGGTGCCTGCTGACGGCCTCCTGCGCCGCAGCAGCAGCAGCGGCAGAAGCAGGAGGAGAAAGGGGAGAGGGATCTGGATCACTCGCGCACTGCTGCCACCTACGGCTCATTAGCGGACTCACGAGCCCCGCAGGCGAAACTAGCCCCAGCGCAACAACGGCGTTTTGCACCTTGAGGTTGCCGCGTCAAAACAAGCACGGATCGGCAGAGGCGACCCGCAGCAGCGGCGCCGCGGCGAGCATGGCGCCGCGGCTGGGCAGGGGGGGGAAAACAGAAGAAGAGTACACAGGACGAGGAGGAGGGGAAGGAGTCCCCTCGAAATTCAAGAAGCCTCCGCTCGGGTTTCAACCAAGCAGGCCTTCCGCACTTGGCGGCAGAGCAGGCGGAGCAGGCGTTGGGGGAGCGCCCTGCCAGGCGAAGACCCTGGGCCGCTGAGCAGGTGAGGCGGCATGGATTTTCAGCTGGTCGACCCCTTCTAAGACTAGGTCGGGCATGTCCCCCTACAGGGGGATTTTGACGAAAGTTTAAAAAATACCTCCAACATATCCCAAAAATCTTCAAAAATAGTCAAAAATAGGTCCCAGACTATTTTTTTCTATTTTTGAACATTCCACCTGTAGAGGGACACGCCCGACTTAATTCTAAGAGGCCCCGCCCGCCTTCTCCACCCGCACGCTGGCCCCCAGCCAACACCACAGGGCAGCGAGATCTATACCTACCGACTGCCCCAGGCCTGGCCCATCCCTGGGCCCAGGACCAGCGCCGACCAGCCATTACTGGGGGAGCTGTGGTCCTTACCCCCCTGGGGGAACCCATCGCATCGACGATCTCTCGAGCGGGGTGTCGAAATCGATGGGCCCCCCCCCGGAGGGGTTAAGGAACACAGCTCCCCCACTTGTGGCTGGCCTGCAGTGCAGATGGAGAACGCCTCCTCGGACCAACCCGGGAGGACGCGCACACCGCTACCGGGCCCAGGATGGGCCCGACCTGGGGCACTGGACGCGTGGCGGGCTCTGGAAACCCTGCATCCGAAAATGCTGCCATCTCTTGGCGAGCGTGGTCTTTTTTACTCGGCGTTTCGACACGGGGCGGCAGAGGGGGGGGAGGGAGGGGGGGGTGTGGCTCCGGACCTCTGCTTGGCGCGACTGTTTGCGACAGTGCGCCCTATGAGGGGAGACTCCACCTGCTCGACAGAGGCGCCAAAAGCAGCCAAGATCTACTCCAGGGGGGGGGGGAGGGGAGGGGAGAGGGGGGCCCGCGCCGATCGGCAAAACAATGAATGAACAAAACGACCACCTTGGGGGCGCATTGTGTACACGTCGTTCGTTTCTAATCGTGCTCATTTCTAATTGTGCTCGTTTCTACTTGTTCCTGGCCCCCCAGTGGCCAGGAAGAGGCCCAGGACAGCAAGTAGAAATCTGGGCCCCAAAACAAAATCAAAGAACTTTCAAAGAATTAGACATGAACATTGTGTACTTCCGCCGCCGTTCTGCCAGCTTCCGCCAGCAGCGGCGGCCCCGTTTCACGTCCGCCGCCCGCCGCAGCCCTTCCGCCGCCTTCCCGCCGAGGGCGAGGTGGCAGTTCCTCCGATCCTCGAAGGCAGGGCCCTCTCTGGAGCGCCCCGTGCCTAGAAGTAAGTCGGGCTTGTCCCCCTGCAGGGGGATTTTGAAAGAATAATTTCAAAAGCATGTCAACAAATACTCCAGAAATACATAGAAATAGTCAAAGCATGGTCCCCAGACTATTTGTTGACTACTTTTGAACACTCCTCCTGTAAAGGGACAGGCCCGATTTAAGTCTGGAACCCGCCGCCCGACCCTCAGATGCTCATTCTGGGGACCCTCCTGGAGCCACTCGCTCCACTCGTGCGTCGAGGCTGCGTCGAACCCGAGTCGAGCCTGAGTCGAACCCGCGTCGAACCCGAGCCGAGCCTGCGCCGACCCTGCGCCGAACCTGCGTCGAACCTGCGTCGAGCAGATCCGTCAGGTCGGCCCCGGGAGGGCCCCCACGACGAGCCGCCGCTTCTCCGCCGGCCGCCCCGCGCCCTCGAGGAGCGAGCACAGGAGAGAAGGTCCCGACGCCGACATCGCTCCTCGGGAAGCGCCGGCGGGGCCCCCCCCCCCCAGGACCTCGAGGCGAGGCCGGCCGCGGCGACGAGGGGGCCTGCTGTTCCCATCCTACTTCAGTAGAAGTCAGAAAATCCCCCCCCCCCCCGTAACAAGTGAGCGTTTTTTTTTTGTCATTCGGCGTTTCGACAGTGGGCGGCAAGGGGGGGGTCTGGCTCCAGACCTCTGCTTGGTGCGACTGTTTGCGGGGAGGGGGGGGGGGGTCTGGCTCCAGACCTCTGCTTGGTGCGACTGTTTGCAGGAGCGCGGCCTCTGGGGGAGACTCCACCCGCTCGAAACAGGCGCCAAAAAGCAGCCCAGATCTATGGGGGGGGGGGGGGGGGGGGGGCTGGGAGCCCGCGCCGATCGGCCAAACAACGAGAACAACAAACGACCACTAACCACCCCGACACGCGAAGTCGTTTGGCAAACGTGCCCAGAGAAGGAATCGAACAGGACAGGGCCGTTGAGTCCACGCCGGGGGCCGCTCAGCGAACGCCAATCGTCGGGGTCGGGGCGGTTCTTCCTCCCTTGGCTTAAGTCGGGCGTGTCCCCCTACAGGGGGATCTGGGGCGAAAAACTTAGATTAACCAAAAAGAATACGGACAAAATGATCCAATAATGCCCACAAATAGTCCAACAGTTGTCCCCATACTATTTTTTTGCTATTTTTGAATATCCCTCCTGTAGAGGGACAGGCCCGACGTAACTCTTGGCAGAACACGGCGAGCGCGAGGGACGCGCAGCGGCCTCCTCGGAGCGCCCGCCTCTGACGGGGCGCGCTCCAACCAAAGCCACGAGGCGGCTGCTGCCGCGGCGACGCTGGCCAGCGGGGCGCCCCCCCCCCCCCCCAACAGCATCGGGCAGCGGCGTCGGCAGCTCTTCCTCCCCAGATCGGGGCCCTGGCCCCTCCTCCTCCTCCTCCTCCTCCTCCTCCTCCTCCTCCTCCTCCTCCTCCTCCTCCCTCCTCCTCCTCCTCCTCCCTCCTCCTCCTCCTCCTCCTCCTCCTCCTCCTCCTCCTCCTCCTCCTCCTCCTCCTCCTCCTCCTCCTCCCGATCGGCCCAGCCCTGTGGGTCGGGCGCCGCCCCCCGCGCGCGCAAGCTCGGCGCGCGCGGGCCCGGGCCTGGTAGCGCGCCGCCCACGCCAGCCTGTCCTCGTCGGAAGGCGCTGCCTGGCAGAAAGGAGGAGGAGGCTGGGCGCGGAGGGCAGGGGGAGAGGGAGAAAGAGAGAGAGAAAGAGAGAGACAGAGAGAGCTTCACTTTCCCTCCTTCTCCTCCTTCTCATATAATTACACGTAGTATTCATATTGTTAGTACAAGTAGTAGTAGTAGTAGTAGTAGTAGTAGTAGTAGTAGTAGTAGTAGTAGTAGTAGTAGTAGTAGTAGTAGTAGTAGTAGTAGTAGTAGTAGTAGTAGTAGTAGTAGTAGTAGTAATAGTAGTTAGTAGTAGTAGTAGTAGTAGTAGTAGTAGTAGTAGTAGTAGTAGTAGTAGTAGTAGTAGTAGTAGTAGTAGTAGTAGTAGTAGTAGTAGTAGTAGTAGTAGTAGTAGTAGTAGAGTAGTAGTAGTAGTAGTAGTAGTAGTAGTAGTAGTAGTAGTAGTAGTAGTAGTAGTAGTAGTGTAGTAGTAGTAGTAGTAGTAGTAGTAGTAGTAGTAGTAGTAGTAGTAGTAGTAGTAGTAGTAGTAGTAGTAGTAGTAGTAGTAGTAGTAGTAGTAGTAGTAGTAGTAGTAGTAGTAAGTAGTAGTAGTAGCAGTACTAGTACTAGTACTAGTACTAGTAGTAGTAGTAGTAGTAGTAGTAGTAGTAGTAGCAGTAGCAGTAGTAGTAGTAGTAGTAGTAGTAGTAGTGGTGGCACAGGTCGTAGAATTCATAGTAGTATTAGTACTGGTATTATTATTATCAGTAGTAGTAGTAGTCGTCGTAGTAGTAGTAGTAGTAGTAGTGAGTAGTGTTGCTATTATTAGTAGTAGTATCCGTATTATTGATAGTATTAGTAGTTACATTATTTTTCGTATGGTTATTATTGTGATTATTCTTATTATTAACCATATTTCTCTTAGCATTATGATGATGCATATTAGTATAAATCTTCTTATTCTTCACACTATTATTATTCTTATTGTTCGTATTGACAGTATTCTTCTTATCATTCGGATGATTTGTTTTGCATGTTCTAATTAGTGTTACTATTACGATCAATAGTATTATCACCAGTCCCTACCTAGGCTCTGCCTAGAAGGGTTCTTACCACTTGGTTTAAAGGGGGCTGGGCAGTGCAAACCGCCCCGGGCGGTTCCCCCAGTCCTCTGGGAGCCAAGCAAAAGCAACAGCAAAGGTAAAAGCAAACACGCGGTTCCCCCAGTTGCGCTCCCTGGGTGCCAAACAAAAGCAAAAGCAAAGGCAAAAGTGAAGGCAAAAGCGAAGGCAAAGCAAAAACATATCATAGCATAGCACAGCGTAGCATAGCAAAGCAAAAGCATAGCATAGCGTGTTCATCGCATGTTGAGGGATGTTGCTTTCCTAGAGGCTCCAACTCTTAGGTAGGGTCGCATCGGGATAAGTATTATTACTCGTCTTCTCCTTCTTATTATTATTGGTATCCATAATGTTCCTCCTCCTCCTCTTCCTCCTCCTCCTACTACTACTACTCCTTTCTTCTTCCTTATAAATAAATTCTCCCTGTCGCAACCCGAGGCCAGTTTTTTGGGGCGGTCCGGGCGTTTCACCTGAGACGTCCTCACCATTTATGACTCTGGAGCAAAAAATTGCCAACAGCTTCGCAGATGGAGAGCGGGTGGCTTTCAAAATGTGGCTCTCGCCTCTGCGCGGCGCACATTCGTTCTAAACATTTGCAAGAACTTCACGGAGTGAGGGCGAGCCGCTTTCAACATGTGGCTCCCGCCTTAGCGCCGCGCACATTTGTTTACAAAATCTGCAAGGGTTTCACGGATTGAGAGCGGGTGGTTTGCAAAATGCGGTTCTCGCCAAAGCGCCGCGCACATTCATTTGAAACATGTGCAAGAGCTTCACGGATTGAGGGCGAATGGTTTTCAAAATGTGGCTCTCGCCGTAGCGCCGCGCACATTTGTTTTACATATTTGCAAGAACTCCATGGCTTCCCATCATCAACCTCGCAAACATGCTGTTTTGGAAGGAGTCAGGATTATGCGGGTGCAACAGTTACATTGGTCCTCTGTGTTGAAGTCCTAGGAATCGCGTTCTGGCATGATTCAGGATCGTCAAGACACAACAGTCAGATTGATCCATGGCGTTGGAATCCCGACAACAATGATTTGGCATGCTTCCGGGTCTTCAAACGGGTGTCTTCCAACGAGGCAGTTCCATCAATAGAAATGAACCGTTGTAGGGACCTGTGAAGAGGGAGCCTGGAGGGAGGGTTCACTCCAACATCGTTGATGTCCCTTGGGTTTACACTGGTCATCCTCTGCCTCCTCCTCCTCCCCGCGGCGAGGGGGCAATTCTGGGAATAAGACCGATTATAACCACTCCGGACTGTTCAGGAACTACTTCAGTCGGATTGCAACCACTGGAAACGGACGGATCGCAATCTGAAGGATTCCTAGCAAACCTTTCTGAAGAACACTGGATTGCAACCGATCCAGGAGCTTCTGCTGAGCTTCTGCAGAGCTCTCTGAGAGGCCTCTGAAAGTCCCCCCGGAAGCCTCAGCGAGGCCTTGTTCATCGGTATCTCTGAAGTTTTTAAAAATGCTCAGAAGCATCTCTCAAGCCTTTTTGTTCGAGGCTTCTCTGAAGCCTTTCAGGGGCTTCTCCGACGCCTTCTTTTTTCAAAAGCTTTTCTGAAGTGTGTCGGAGGCTTCTCGAAAGCCGTTTCAGAAGCTTCCCTGGAGCTTTTTTCCCAACCATCCTGTGGTGTTGGGTCCTCGTTTTGAAGAGACGGGGCCCCGCGTTCCTCCTTCCTTCCTTCCTTTCTTCCCTCCTCCCCCTCCTCCTACTCCTCCTCCTCCTCCTTCTCCTCCTCCTCCTCCTCCTCTTTTTCCTCCTCCCTCCTCCCTGCGTTTCACCCACCCAGTACAACGTTTCGTGGCCCCACAGGGAGCTCCTCCGAAGGCCCCAGTGGCAGGGTTCGCATGGCGGCCCCACGCAATTTTGGCGCACCCCTCACACGGTTCGTGGCCCCATAGGGAGCTCCACCGAAGGCCCCAGTGGCAGGGTTCGCATGGCGGCCCCGCGTTTTGGCGCACCCCCTCACACGGTTCGTGGCCCCATAGGGAGCTCCACCGAAGGCCCCAGTGGCAGGGTTCGCATGGCGGCCCCGCCTTGTGGCGCACCCCTCACACGGTTCGTGGCCCCCATAGGGAGCTCCACCGAAGGCCCCAGTGGCAGGGTTCGCATGGCGGCCCCGCCTTTTGACGCACCCGTCACACGGTTCGTGGCCCCATGGGGAGCTCCACCGAAGGCCCCAGTGGCAGTGTTCGCATGGCGGCCCCGCGCCATTTTGGCGCACCCGTCACACGGTTCGTGGCCCCATAGGCAGTCATCGAAGGCCTCAGTGGCAGGGTTCGCATGGCGGCCCCGCCCCGTGTTGGCGCACCCCTCACATGGTTTGTGGCCCCATAGAGGGCTCCACCGAAGGCCCCAGTGGCAGGGTTCGCATGGTGGCCCCGCTTCATCTTGGCGCACCCCTCACACGGTTCGTGGCCCCATAGAGGGCTCCACGGAAGGCCCCAGAGGCAGGGTTCGCATGGCGGCCCCGTGCCATTTTGGCGCACCCCTCACACGGTTCGTGGCCCCATAGGGAGCTCCACCGAAGGCCCCAGTGGAAGGGTTCGCATGGCGGCCCCGCGCCATTTTGGCGCACCCGTCACACGGTTCGTGGCCCCATAAGGAGTCATCGAAGGCCTCAGTGGCAGGGTTCGCATGGCGGCCCCGCCCCGTGTTGGCGCACCCCTCACATGGTTCGTGGCCCCATAGGGGGCTCCACCGAAGGCCTCAATGACAGGGTTTGCATGGTGACCTCGCTTCATCTTGGCGCACCCCTCACACGGTTCGCGGCCCCAGAGGGAGCTCCACCGAAGGCCCCAGAGGCAGGGTTCGCATGGCGGCCCCGCGCCATTTTGGCGCACCCCTCACACGGTTCGTGGCCCCATAGGGAGCTCCACCGAAGGCCCCAGTGGCAGGGTTCGCATGGCGGCCCCGCCCCATTTTGGCGCGCCCATCACACGGTTCGCGGCCCCATAGGGAGCCCCACCGAAGGCCCCAGTGGCAGGGTTCGCATGGCGGTCCCGCCCCAGTTTGGCGCACCCCCTCACACGGTTCGTGGCCCCATAGGGAAGTCACCTTGCTTCGTCCCACCTGCCTTGCGGTTATCACACTTGCGTATGGTTGGGTCTTTCGCCAAGATGATGTTCAGAGGTTTCTCTGACGCCTTTTCAGAGGCTGCTCTGATGCCTTTTTCGGAAGCTTCTCTGAAGCCCTTTTTCCAAACCATCCTGTGGTGTTGGGTCCTCGTTTTGAAGAGACGGGGCCCCGCGTTCCTCCTTCCTTCCTTCCGTCCTTCCCTCCTCCCCCTCCTCCTACTCCTCCTCCTCCTCCTCCTCCTCCTCCTCCTCCTCCTCCTCCTCCTCCTCCTCCTCCGCCTCTCCTCCTCCTCCTCCTCCTCCTCCTCATCCTCCTCCTCCTCCTCCTCCTCCTCCTCGTCTTCCTCCCTCCCCCCTGCGCGTCACGCACCCAGTACGGCGTTTCGTGGCCCCACAGGGAGCTCCACCGAATGCCCCAGTGGCAGGGTTCGCATGGCGGCCCCGCGCCATTTTGGCGCACCCCTCACACGGTTCGTGCCCCATAGGGAACTCCACCGAGTGGCAGGGTTCGCATGGCGGCCCCGCGTTTTGACGCACCCCTCACACGGTTCGTGGCCCCATAAGGAACTCCACCGAAGGCCCCAGTGGCAGGGTTCGCATGGCGGCCCCGCCCCATTTTGGCGCGCCCCTCACACGGTTCGTGGCCCCATAGGGAGCTGCACCGAAAGCCCCAGTGACAGGGTTCGCATGGCGGCCCCGCGCCATTTTGGAGCACCCCTCACACGGTTCGTGGCCCCATAGGGAGCTCCACCGAAGGCCCCAGCGGCAGGGTTCGCATGGCGACCCCTCGTTGTGGCGCACCCCTCACGTTGTTCGTGGCCCCATAGGGAGCTC